GGAGAAGGCTGGTCTGTTTTCAGGCTGTTTTGACAATGTTTTATCAATTTGAGGACCACGCTCACTTCTCTTTTCTACACCAGATGTTCAGTCGTTGATTGTACCCGTTCCGCCGGACGTGCTGGTTCTTCTAAAGAACTAAATTTTACTGAAATCGACCTCCCTTCGGTTCTTAGCATCGCTTGAATTTTTCTTCCAACTTCGTTTATCCTTCGATATATCCTTGTCATAAATTTGGTTTCTATTCACTGTGAGGATCCATCCTTAAAATTCAATTTGTAAACAGAGGAGATTTTATGATATACTTTTAAAAGCCTAAAAGGCAACAATATATGCCATTTGCTCTCATTTAAAACTTAATGGTTTTATGATTGCTTTTATAATGATAGAACAGGTTTATAGAGTATTTTATCAAGGCATTAATAAAAAATTGCTAATGAAGTTTATGATTGATTTATAGAACAGTTTTATGGTGGGATTGAGAACAACTTAAAATTTAATTTTAAAACAAGACAGTTTTTGACTTCTCGACAGACTGTAAAAGGTTTTTAAAACAGCGAAAAGGTGAACTACTAAGCAGGAACGTGTTACACTGCGAAAAACTGTATTTAAACTAAATGGATTATTCATTGCCATTATAAAACCATCATAAATCAGAGTGGATGCCAAATGATTGCAGAATTGTTACTTGGGATGTGTTTCAACCGTGTATATTTTTTCAAGAATTGCATTTTAATTTTTCACAACTTTCCCGAAGACACCATAGCAATCAAGCAAGCCGTTTTTGCAATATAGGTATGTTTATTTCATTAGTGTTTTTCTATACAGGCCCTATTGAAAAGTTAGGATTCATTACATCTGATACCATGAAAAGGTATCGTTACTAACAAAACTAAAAAATTCATTTGATGAATATTGAGCTAGAACTAAATAAAAGTGATATGATGTTCAAACTAGCGACCCTTACTGAAGGAGCAATTCCATTCAAATTGACGATTTTTAAATTTTCTTTTTTATTCATTGTCGTCAATTTTGCATAGTTGTATCAGTGATCGTAACAGTAATAAGTCAAATACTCAACACTGTAGTAGTGAACACCAAAAACATCTGTCTGTACCTAATGTAGAAATCGTACCTATCGATCTGATACTTAAATGAGTTTGAATGGTGAAAACAAGCAGTTGATCACAAAGATTGCTTTTTACCGCAAACATCTTAACAAGTTATCATAGGAAATAAGTGTAACACCATTTGGTTAAAAGGTAAGCATACCCTTCAGTTGTATTTCAATGAAATCATTTTTAAAGATTATTATTTTTAATTTTTTTTTCATACAGGAAACAACATGAGTGAACGAGCATGTTTTATCAGGTGCATTCGGCCGTTCGAGGAAGTCAAGTACTCGAAAGAGCTGAGGAATATTTCGAATATTACCATCCAGAAATTAAAATCGATTGGATATTCTGAAGCATCAGGATTGAATACTGGTTTTCGCATTTGCATGTCCTGCCGTCTTCGTGTTGATAAACAAGCTCTTTTCATCTCAAACGAGGAACAGCATGTTGCCGGAAGCTCAAAGATGTCAACTACAGTGATAGTACATGTCGTACCGAGCTATGAAAGCCTTACAACTGTACCACCAATGACATCAGTTACTTCAGTTCAATCGTACCAAGAATTCACTCAACCAGTCAACATCGAGATATTCAACCGAGGCATTGCAGGAATCCAGGTATCACCGATAGACGTGGGAAAACTCAACTAAATCCACTACCCCGAAAAGAAGCACCGTGAAATCAACGAAGGTATTAGAAAGAATCTTTTCAACTTCGAGCCTGAGGCTGACGAAGTGAATGAACTCAAAGAAGTTTTAGAAAACATGAAGGAAAAGTTTTCCAATGCATCCACTGCAAGAAGTGAAAAGTTATTAATTTTATCGTTATTGCCTTATTCATGGTCAACACAAAAAGTTATGGATCAATTTAATGCTAGTAGATATATTGCAACAGAGGCTAAGTTGATAAAGGAAGGTCATTCGTCAAAAACCGCAAAATATGGCACAGCCTTAAGCGATGAAACAAAATTGGCAGTCATACATTTTTTGGAAGATGATGATATAAGCCGGGCAATGCCTGGTCAAAAAGATTATGTGTCTGTGCACAAAGAAGGAAGACGACAAGTTAGTAGCAAACATTATGAGCTTCAATGATGCTTAAAACAAAAAAAATTCAAAAATGCACTTTTTGAGGAATTAATTTTTTTAATAATAAATATAATTTTTTTCATTTATACAAACGATTTTTTTTACAGTGTATATTATTTACACAATTGCCAAAATAATATCTACAACTTTGCTTAAGACACCAAATCAATCGAACAAAGCGTTTCGGCAATATATATTTTTTAAACTCATTAGTACTATTTTTACACAGGCCCTTTTCAAAAAGTAGTCGTGATTGAATATGAAAAACTGAGAGCACAAAATGGCGCCTTTACTAAAAAGGAACAACTGTGCAAAGTTTCAGCGTAATTGGAAATGATCGGTCAGGATCGATTTGCGAACCTTCGTGGAATGCCTCAGATACGTATTTCGACTACAATGTGCAGTCTTCATCAGTGTCATTCCCATTAAAGAACTTATCAAAATCTAACCCCCTTTACTTAAATCTTTGGTTTTTATTAGTTTGGTAGGTTCCGATTCAGCACATTGTAGTTTCATTTTTATACCTGTGATCTTGACTTAGGGGTTAGATTTTGATAAGTTCTTTAGTGGGAATGACACTGATGAAGACTGCACATTGTAGTCGAAATACGTGTCTGTCATGGATACCAAAATTAATTAAGTGGAATTAAATGGAAGATAACCTTTTTTGCTGTTTTATTTAAGCATTCCGCTAACAACCCAATTTCATTACTTCATTATGGGTTTGTTGTTTTGACGTTTTTTTTTTGAGTGCCATGCCATGCTACCGACGCCAGGAAGGCAGCTCCCACACCTGGACCCTACCTATCGACCCATCAACTCATGAACCGGGGACCAACGGCTTTACTTACCTTCCGAAGGAAGGCGTGATCAGAGATGTTATGCCTCAGAACATGCCGGCGGCGCCGACTGGGATTGAATCCAGGTCTGCTGGGGTGAGAGGTAATCACGCTTACCACTACACCACCGGCGCCGCTTCATCCATGACTAATATCTTGAAGATTTTCCTAGGTCCTAAAGGTATGAAATTTATTCTGTGTGCACTTTACCATGTTCCTAGAATGTAATTTTGGTTGCTATGTCTGAGATTTAACTGATGATGAAATATTCAAAATTAAAAAAAAACTAGTTCCAAAATTCATGGAATTACCTAGCTCTGAGAATTTTCAAAGTTTGATATGCTTAAATTTATGACATCCGGACGTTATGTGATTTCATTACAGAAAGCATGAACAAACGATCATTGCTTGTTCAAAATTAGTAAGCTTTTAAGGCTGTGAACCATTTGCCGAGTTAAATTTAACTCGTGGTTAAAAGTGACATTTCGAAAGTTATTTCTTATGTTCGAAAATCCCCGTGCTGTCGATCGACCGGTTTCCGAGCCACGGTCGTCAAAATTTAACTTCTTGTCTGTCAGAAGTAACCACGCTCGGATAGCAGGGTTAATCGATAACTTTTCATCTGTCAAATTTTAACCAAAAGTTAAAATAATCCACCAAATGGTTCAGAGCCTAAGGCTCCCCCAATCGATGTCCCAATCATTGTTATGAAATAAATATAATCAAATTTATTGTTTCACCATTAAAATAATAGTAAGCCTCAATGTCACTTTATTGGTCACAGAAAAATGTACCCATTAACAATTTGCCTTGACGCAATTTGATTGAATAGCGTCTTCGCGAGCTTTTGTTTAACCGTATTTTAGTAAAATAAAATAAAAACAGTCGAGGAAATCAGTTTTAGACACACATTTAAAGACACTTTCGAACACCTATCTATACATACTTGTGATGGAATGAGGTTGCGTCCAAACAGGTCCAAACCAGTGACTGTTTTACAGTGTCTTACCGTTTCCGATAGCACGTGATTTCTATACAATGAAAAATATGTCATTTTAACTGGACTTGCGACGGTAAGCTAAACTATGACACTTCACGTCGTAAATAAAATTCAATCTATTTTCAGAGCAGGTGACAAGATCGATTCACTTCAAATGCTCCAAGTAGGCCTTTAACTTCGAATCAAAACAACCGCTGGAAACTCCAGACACTCTGATGGGTTGAAAATCCACAAGCACGAGCCATCCTCGATGAAAATCTCACGGGTGGAAAACACTAGCAGCGCAAAATGAAGTAGTAAATTATTTCCTATGCCGAAAAAAAAAACAACCTTTCGACGCCCGTTATTATCGCAACAACATTATGAGTTATGCTTGCACAGTTCTCAGCACATGCCACACGATATACCTACCTTCCTTTGATCTCAACCAGCGGAAAGCTAGAATAGTAGTAGTCTAAGCACCCGGGCGACCACGTTTCTACTATTCTATGCCGCCTGTGTCTGCTCGTTTACTACGGCTGAGAGTGGAAAACCCCCTTCCCATACACTATACACACTGCACCGACGATCAACACGGTGGACTAACGGACCCCACAAAACGTTTGAGTCATGGTTTGGGGTAGGTACCTATACCTACATCTAGCCGCAGAGGGTGCGGAGAGACTTTTGCATCGCGATAATTTCTTCTTCCTTTGTCGCCCGCCGTGCCCGCTCACCGCTCGCTGCTCGGCGTCCCTCGAGGGGGTCGAATGCATTTCTGCTTGCACACGCCGGTGTGTGCAGTTTTCGCGTGGTTTTGGCGCGCTTGCGGCTGTCGAGCAGTTTTCCACGCTGCCGTGAGAGCGAGAGGGTACACCGAGAACAAGCCGGCGACATCGCAGAGCACTCGGCCCAATCGGAGCGCTTTTCGGCTATAAAAGTAATGGCATTTTCCAGCAACGGTATCAAATCAGTCGTTGCAACCCTTCAGTGCAGAAGTGCATCAATCGCAGTTTGTCTTTAACGTCGCAGTTAATTCCGCAAATAAAATACCAACCGTCAACATGAAATCCTTCGTAAGTGCAGCGGAAAGATAGAATTATGTGTGGTGATAAGGTGGTGATTTTTTGATAAAAGGACTACTTTGTGATTTGATGGTTCTCAATGAAGAACAACTATTATAAGTAACTAGTGGAACGGTGAACATAACAGCATAGTCCAAAAAAGGCTGCTATTGGACGGAAGAATCTTTCATCAAAAATCTGCTTGGATGAATCTACATTATCTGTTTGCTAAAGAAAACATTGGCAAGATTTTATTCTATGCGAAAAGTTCGATCGATTATAACATAACATGTTTGAATAATCAGCCTATTTCAGGGTTCATGATTTCCTACTAATGTTCAAGTCGATTTCTGTTCAAGTAATTAAGTTGCATTTGTAAACTATTCTAAATACATCTGCACACCGATTTGCCTGTGTACTTGTGGATAACTTTTCATAGCTGCCAGCCATTTCCATTCTCGACCCGTTCGAGGAAATTACTCTATTCTGCTGGTTCGGCTCTATCAATATAAAGCCGTTTCATATTCGATGTTGTAGCGATTTTAGGAATCGTGTAAACATTGCAAATTTTTATTTTTATTTAGTTTTTTGATTGATGATCTTCTCAAGTAAATAAATAGTTAATTTCTCACTACTCGATTTTGAAAGGATCGTCAACTTGGAAAAATAACGATTTTAACGACAAATCAAAATTTAGCTAATCTTCTATATTGAGGCTCAATGAGTCCGAGTAAACCTGGATATACTGTGATACAATTTACATATGGAAACTAAAAGCTATCCCTTCTTGTTAATGATTTAAATAATATCGATATGACACATCAAAACTTCCCTCAAAACAGCAGCGTGCATTTTGATTGTCCTGGAAGTGTTACAGAATTCCTTCCGTCAATGAGATAAGCTCACAGATTTTGACAACCCTCATAATCCCCTGGCCCCATTTTCCAGATTGCTCTTTTCGTCATCCTCGCCATCGCTGCCGTCTACGGAGCTGACGACACCAAGACTACCGAAAAGCGTGGAATTTACGGTGGACTGGGATACGGATACCCATCAGCAGGCTACAGCGGTGTGCACGGCGGCTACTACGGTGGACTCGGCGGATACTCCGGTCTGGGCTATGGCGGATACGGTGGATACCAGTCTGCTGGATACTATGGCGGATACCCAGGTAGATACATTCGGTCATTTCATTGTTCCTAAAAAAAAATGAACTCATTGTTAAATTTCCATGTGCCCAAGCAGCTAGCGCTGGATACCTCGGCGGCGGTCACGGATACTACAGCGGTGGCCTGCACGGATACCCCGGATACGGTGGACTGGGATATCACGGTCTGCACTAAGCAGCGTCCTCGACGATGAGCTCCTATGCTGAAACAAGGCTGTTCCTTTCCAACCCACCCAAATGATATGTCTACTATGAGGCGAAGACTTTTCAACTACTTTTTTTTTTATAAAACCACGTGTGAAGTTTGGATTTGACAAACCGAAATAATATCGGACGACATGTACTATTTTTATATCTATTTTTTATATATATGTCTACTACTCCTTATACTCAATATCGACGAAGCGATACACTGTCAAAGTTGTAGTGTTTTCAAATTTTACTGCGTGTAAATACTTGTGATGATTTACTTTTTCGTACGTGACCTTTTACTCTTTTACCCCTGTCTAGTATGTAGATTTTGTACAGTACAATAAAAACTTTTAAAAACAATGTGCAATGCTTTTTGATTTTACTATCAAATGATCCAAACGAATCTTGAATCTCCATTAAATAATCTTTGAATACTTCCAGAGCTTCTCAGGTCAAAGGCTAGTCGACCGAGACGCAAATACAAAGCAAAACCATGCTTGAGGCGCCGTGAATAGTCCGAAAGAGTAGTGTGACGTTCTTTTAAATATGATGCACATAAACGAGTGCCGGACTGTGAGTACTGGACAAAAGTATATAACATCGTGATTTTTCTCTCTCTCCAAAAAAGTTCAATAAGCTGTAACTTCTCATGATGTGCATTAAAATTTCAGAAATCTTGGCTGCTGGTTAATCGACTATTCAAGATTCAAAATTTGATCACTCACTTTGATTTCATTTGGGTTGAGTTAACGGTTAACACATAAAAAAATAAAGCCAAATGTTACACTGGCGAATCAAATGGAAAACTAATCCTGCATTAAATTTAATCAATTTGATTACTGATTATGCATTAATAATATGTAAAGGAATACGGGCCAGGCGTAAATGGTTAGCATCCGAAATTTCTCACGTAGAAAGGCCTAAGTTCAAATCTCACCCTGGACAAGTTACGAATGACCTAAACTGTGTTAAACAAAACAAATAATCGTTAGTTCAACAACAGTTAAATTATTTTTACCTCTTAATTTGTTCCAAATTCAAAATAAATTACATTTCATTTTAACCTAGGTGCTCCAGTTACTACAGTAACTTACCAGCCTTAATTGTTAGGATATATATCTTAGTGTTTTTACATTGTTCCTGCCTTGGCAATTCAGTATTTTAAACAGGTTTTTTAAACCTGCATGTCAGTTTAACAATTAAAATCTTAAAACTTAAAACTAAGACTAAATCTTTTCTAAGTATAATAGGAATTAATTATTGCAATTGAGGATTGCAACGATTTTTGCCTGAAATTATTAATTATTTTGTTGGACATTTGTTCTAAAGTCTCAACATTCGAAATTCTATGTACCTCGGTAGTACTGTACCAGGAAGGGTTCGTTAGCATATTACGTAACGCAATTTTTTACCATTTTGAAGTCCCCCCCCCCTCTCCCATGTAACCCATCCGTAACAAACGCTCATAAGCTTGTTTTTCATGCTAGGGCCAAGGGGTGGTCACTCTACACACTTGTTTTGCGCCAACTTTTTTCTCAGTGTACCTCAGTGTGCCGCAGCTGTACCGGCAGTGTCAAGAAGTCATTGAACTGACTTTTGATTGCTTGTAAATAATGCCTTGTTTGGCAACCCGGTATTTTAACAGCTCTTATTTTTGTTTTTTTTTCAATGTTTTCAAAAACGACACGGACTCCAGTTGGGACTACACACTGGATGCATCCGTCTCCAAGGATGCCTGCAATGGACGACGGACGAGCACCGTTGCTACACGATCTTTTCATCTTCGGCGGAAGGCCGACCCCGCACAACGAACGTCAATCATTAGTCAACCAACCCTTCTGGGAGCCGGCGGAGGAAATGGATTTGCACCGAATTTTTCACCGCCCGAGTATCATCCGTCGGAAAACTGGAAACCAGCACCGGCCGGAACACACGTCGGACTGATGAAGGACACACCGCTGACCCGAAACGGACCAGCCAATTTTCCAAGCTAAACTACTTGTCAGAGTCCACCAACCCGTACACCCTACAGGACAATTCGATCAGCTTCAAGGTCTTCAGCGCCTCCAAGAACAATCGCTTTCGAGGCCAGCAAAAATCGCATTCTCTACTTCTTCAATAACCCATCCGTATGCCGTCCGAGGATCTGCTGCTGACTGCATTCACCACCAAGGACTGCCACCCGTCGCAAGTGCGAATGTTCCCGCTGAAATCGGGAAGTTCCTCCTCCGGATTGGTCGAGTTCCCGAGCGTAGCCCTGGCGGTTAACGTCATCATGAAGTGCAACCACAAATGCTCAAAACTCCCGTTCATTATGAAGCTGTGCTTCTCCTCCTCCAAGAAGATGAACGGTGCGTGGAGTAACGAGAACACCGAAAACACGTTAGCTTTGAAAGAGCGGAAGCTTTTTTCCTGAGAAAGGAAAGGATTTTCCTTTTTCTGTGTAGTTAATGTTATGATTCATAATTATAATTTCTTATTGTGTTAGTTGGAAGTGCAAAAAGGAACGAGAGTAAAAATTTGTTGAACTATTTGAGATTTTGCCAAGACGGTCCTCCAACATTATATGTTGGACGATGGAATGGTTGATGTAGCAGCCACCGCCATGGATGTATTCAAGCAGTTCGAATGGTCGGATGGTATAGTTTTTGTTTGGTTGTTGACTTCCCGATTAAAACTCAAGCACCGCTTGTCGTGACCGGCCCAAGATTTCCAGCGTCGACCACGGCTACACAAATTAGCGATGCAGTTCCCACTGGTCCGTCTCCTCTAAAATTCGAGAGAAAAAACGTACCTGCCGCAGCATTGGAAGCAGCCGCAGCCGTAGGAGCTGCATCGCTAGTTCGTGTAGCCATGGCCGGAAACCTCGGTCAGGTCAAGATACCGCTGTCAGCTGTTCTTCGTATGGTAGGAAATGTGGATGCGACTGCCGTCACGGGTGTAACGATTTTGAGAATCCATGGCGAGACTTGGTGGAGATTCACGGTTGTTTTGAAAATAATTTGACTAGGAGTGGCAACGTCAATAACTAATTTTGACACATGCACACTGCGCAGGCGCAGAAAAAGTTCAGTGTTGCCAGTAACTTAGAAGATCATAAAAATTGTAACCATGGGTGCCAAACAACGTCAATGACTGCACCCGGGTGTGCCCCAGTTTGATTTTGGCACACTGTGTAGAGTGACCAACCCCTTGGCTAGGGCAGAAGAAATCATATGCGACGTCCGAGGAATCAAATAAAGCCATATTCTGAAAAAGTGTTGCAAAACGAGTATGACCGCCCTGATTCGCAGCCAAGCCTGGATCCTTTGCAATGTCTATTTGAGGGTTGTACTCAACAACTACTGGTGGAGGAATGAATCTATTAGGGAAAAAAATCGCCAAAACCACTTCGGAAAGACCCGCAGCATTCTTGCTGCTGACACTTCACTATCTGCAAAAATTACTGCGAAGACCGTACATGTGTTGCTTTCCACTCTTCACTCATCGTGATAAGATCTGCTTTGGATACTTCTGAGTTCTCAGGCTCAATGTATTCGGCGAAAACTGGGTGTCCGTCGATATCGTGCTCAGACCATATTTCCGCTAAAGCCTCATCTGCGTTCAAGGTGGTTACCCCACTTGTCGTGAGGAAGAATTACACCGCAAAGTGAGCGTGATAAGGGTGCAATTCTTCTCTCAACAACATTAAAGGCGGATCTTCCTGGAGCCTTTATTGTCACGAAAAAAGCATCAAGTTTGTAGAACTTAAAATGATCAGGCCCTCCATCGACTGTTACAATCACAATTCGTTTGATGTCTCCAGATATCACTCTATGTCTCAAATCAACATAGAGTGTACGTCGACTTTAGTTCCGTATACATTTCTACCGAATCATTAATACAGCTCATTTCACACTTTCTTAAGCTCATGACTGTATACCGCACATCTCCCCTCTACTCTGAGAAAAAAAAATATTTGAAAATTTCTTATAAATACTAACTTATAGTTTTAATTATTCAGTACCTGCACATCATCTGTGTGAGTGTCTGGATCGGGTGAATCATTCCTCTTCTCTTGGACTCGATTAATACGTTTCTTGTGGCACACCACTGCAAAATGTCCGCATTCACCACACGAATTGCATTGCTTGTCGAGGGCTGGACAAGGGTAGTTGTTGTGTCGGAATCGGTTGCAGCGATTGCATCGTGAGCGTCGAGGCACGTGTTGAGGATTGCTCTGAGGTCGCTACGTCAACGCCCTGTTGTTCTAGACGTCTGGTCCTGCAGGGATGCCATTCTCCCCAGTGTAAGCAGGGTGAGGAGTTGAAAAGACACCTCGCACTATGACAAAAGCAAACTCACCCGAGAGATCTTTATTTTGTTTTCACTTTCTACCGCTTCTCCCACTTCGCAAACAAATACAGTTTCTGACGTTCGCACCTCCAACAGTCCAACACACCGGAGCGGATGAGTGATCACTAGGGAGCACCGTAGAGAGTTCGTTTGCTTCACCGGGGAGAATCACCCCGGTGAAGACTTTGGTTGTTAGTTTGTTGCATACAAAGATTTTTTAAAGGTTACTTTTTATATTAACGTCGATACTGAGGTATGGAGGTCCAGTCTGGGTTGCAGCGCTGGAAACGAAGCAGAACCAAAGGAAACCGAGTAGTACGTTCCGGCTCATGGCCATGCAAGTCGTGAGTGTGTACAGAACCATCTCGTCGGAATCTGTGAGAGCGGATTGGTTGGCTAAGTGGCAATAGAAGTGGAGAACGGCCGAGAACGGTAGAGGAACACGATCTGGGTGAACAGAAAACACGGAGACGTCAACTTCCACCTACAGCAGTTCCTGTCTGGCCACGGCTGCTTCAGAAAGCGCCTGAATCGGTTCAAACACGCAGCGTCACCCCTCTGTTCGGAGTGTGGCAACGTGGATGAAACGCCGGAGCATGTGGTCTTCGACTGTCAAAGGTTCGAGGCAGTGCGAAGGGAGACGTCTTTAACGTGGAGAATGTCGTCGAAAGGAAGGCACTTGGAATGCCGTCAGCAGCTGCAGAGACAGTGGAGAGAGGAGCAGCGATCTAGCAACACCAGAACACCCGATGAATATTGAAGAGATGCCGCTTCAAGTTGAATACCGTGTCTACTTTGAATGTTTTTCCATTTGCCCTGCAAAGCACAAAATTCAAAACCACCGGTACTGTCGTCAAACCGCACTTTTTTCTTCGTGAAAAACAGTTTGCACTTTGTCCCCTCACGTCAAGCTCTGCCGGAATCTGTGGAGAAACAATAACGCATTTGCTCTGCCATCTTTCTCACGGAAGTGAGTGTATAAACAGACAAACAGTGAACTGTCAACTCTCTCACTCCCTCGTGCT